ATTGTGGGAAAATTGTACTACCAGTCCTTCATCACCTTACACGAAATAGGGTGAATACATCTCATTACAAGAATGGTGCCCTGGGAATTTTTCGTCCCTTCTCCTTCAGAGATTCTGACTGACCTTTCCCATCTAACTAGGTTCCTTATTATAGCTTTGAAGTTACTCATTTAAATGCGATAAATTCAGTTCATTCCTTACATCTTTACTAAATGACAGTAGTGCTTTTAAATGTGTTTATTAAGTATAGTTAAAATTGCATCAACTCATCTCAAAGTACACAACGAATCCAAGTTTTTATAACCCATTTATTATCCTTGATGGTCTTGATCATCATTTACACGGAATCAGTCGCAAATAAATTAACATAAACTCTGCTTCTACTTTACCTGAACGTGTTTTTCTTCTCCGTTTTCCTCCACATCCATCCCGAAAAACAAATATGTACGCCCATGCATGCCTCATTATGCAGTCCTTTTACCGATCTTGCATCAGAGTCCATCTTCACTGCGGTTCTCTTCAACCTCATTCTGGCCGGATGTGTCTTTGCGGTTGCTTTCATCATCCGAATTCTCGTTTTTGTCAAATGGACCGGCTGGCGTGTCATGAGGCCTTGGCGCTTATCGCGGCCGAAACCGCCGCCAGTACCGTCGGCCACCAGCAATGCTCATTCACGCAGCGCAGCTGCAGCAGATGGGAGACTACATCGCTCCGTTTCGTCGACAGACTTGCTTCCAGCTCTGAATCAACCGCGGACAAACGTGGCTATAGGATCCAGATCATTGGCCGCAGAATGTGGTCTTTCTTGGAAAACAAAATCTTGCAGACAACATGTATGCGTCTTTACAAAAGGCTTACTTATTTAATTTAGGATTGCAAATAAATAGTGTACTGTGCACTTTAATTCATCAAAAATGCATCAACTTTAACCATACTTATGTCGACTTTTCACATATCGTGGCCGAGTAAAATCACTTTATGTGATCTTTTTTTATCAGCTATAAAATGCTCCAGTTAGATTTACGAAACTGTCGTACATCAGGTAATTTATGCCCTTATTCCATATTTATTTCCAAAAGTTAATTTAGATTCACTCCTTGTCAGCATTGTAATTGTTATAGACCATCTTTATAGTCGTGGGTGGCAAGCTAGAGGAGGGGTGTAGATGAATCTTCGTAAGATTAGTAGCTTTTTTCATAAGACTTATTTATATCTATTACAGTGTTACAATTCAAGAGAATGTCGTTTAAAGATAAATACATTTCAGACTGACCCCCAACTTTGCAGTTTCGAAACTGTGTAGTCTTGCACTTTAAGAATAATCTTGATATGCTCAAAACTTTGTCAAATTATTTTGGTGCAGAGGCGAGAAAGAATCTTGCCTTGCGACAAAACGGCTGAGGGCAGCGAGGATT